CTGGGTTCCAGCCTGTGTCCTGCAGAAACTTGACTCAGTGATGCTGCAACCTCATCTATCCCCGGAATGTCGACGCGAGTGGCCACTCTGCCCTTCCCTTTGTAACCTGCTACCCCACAACTAGGTGAGCCAATGACTTAAAGTCAGTATCTCTTCCTCCTCTCCTCCACTTCCTTCTCTCCATCGGAGAGTAAAGCGTCTCTCTTGGGACAAGAGGTGCCACTGTCAGACACCTAAAGATGTGCAAGTTGTTTTGACACTGGCTAACAGGTTAGAAAATAGAAAATGTCTAAAGAGACTCTTGGTAGAAATAAAGGGAGTCTGGCAAAGGCATGTGCGGGGAAGAGTGGGAGACTTTCCGTTGTTTGGAGAATGCATCTTCCCCCATGAACAGAAATCTGCTGGAATGCAGTAGGCACATCTGCTGAAGTCTGGGACAGAAATAAGGCACGAGTTGGAAGGAGCTGGAGAACAGCACTCCTGCCATGAGGTGGCTTATGGTCTGGCTGCACAGCGTGCTGCAGGTGGGACACAGAGCCCAAGAGGTCTTTTTATTGTTGTTGGAATTTTTTATTGGAAAGGCAGATTTACAGAGAGAAGGAAATACAGAGTGAAAGATCTTCTATATACTGGTTCACTTTCCAAAATGGCTGCAACGGCCAGAGCTAAGCCTATCCGAAGCCACGAGCCATGAACCTGGTCTCCCAGGCAGGTGCAGGGTTCCAAGGCTTTGGGCCATCTTGTACTGTTTTCCTATGCCACAAGTAGGGAGCTGGTTGGCAAGTGGAGCAGCTGAGACACGAGTGGGAGCCCGTATGGGATCCTGGTGCCTATACGGTAAGGATTTAGCCACTAGGGCTATCACACTTGGCCCAGCTCGAGATGTTTTAAGAGATTCAGTGGAAGAGACTTTGGGGCTAAGGGGTTAAGGGGCAGCCTTGCCCAGCCCTGTTGCTGAGTGATAATATGAGGGAATTACAAAGAAAAAACAATCAGATCTTCAAGGATTTGGATTTTCCCAGCCTATTTATATGAAAAATACAAGGCTGTGAAGGCAGTGGAGGTGTGGACAACTGGGGCTGGAACTGGGGGGGCGGGGGTCTCAGCAGCCATTTCAGGCAAGATGCTGCCAGTGCGGACTGAACAGGGCAGACACAGACGAAGCAAGGGTTCAGACCGTGACCCGCCAGGATGGGCACACAGCTGACACGCATTATCCTCATGGGGAAGGAAGAGAGAGCCTAGGGGTGGGCCGAGGGGTGTGGAGACAGAGCCTGGAACCAAGCCTTAAACCTCACATTAACTGCCCTTCCAGGCTGGAGCCTGATCTGGGCCCTGAGTCCTCTTGTTTACTTGTTGAAAAATACAGGTCTGCCCCTGCTGCTCCCGACACTGTGCACCGGAAGCAGACGCTCTGTCCTCTGGCTTCGTTGGCTTGCCAGACCTTGTTTACAGGGTTTTTACGATGAGAATTTGAGATAGCAAGTGGATGCTGGAACAGCAGGCTAGGGACTTTTGAGGACGCTGGATGGCGTGAAGACCACAGGAATTTTGGAGGGTGTGACAGTATGAAACTCTAGTTGGTCTTCCACTCTGCTGCCACCCGTTCCTGAAAGTCTCAGGATCTGCCGAGTGGCAAGTGTTAACAAGAGAACTTCCACTCGGGGCTGGTCACTGGGAAGTCCTGGGACTTGTGCCCTACCCCAGCCTCCAGCGAGGGTCAGAGGGCTGGCTCCAAGGATTTGCCCTAAGTTCTGGGGCAGCACTTCCAAAGGACTGGAGCTGAAGAGGGAGCAGTGGGAGCCCTGAACTGCAGGGATAAGTGTGTTACTTTCTGAAGCAGGAGCCAGCCTGAAGAGCCCCCAGGTGTGGAGGGGCTGGGGTCTGATTCCATTTCAGGGAAGGGGTGTGAGAGCGGGTGTGTTATAGGACTCTCAGGTCGCCGTCCCTGAAGAATCAACAGCGTGCTGCTATGGGAATCTCCACAGACGCTGGTAAGGAGAGCACCGAGTGAGCGCACTGCAAGGAGGGCACTCCGTTTCCCTGAGACAAGGAGACCATCATGCACTGAATTAGACTCGTGATAAACACTCCCCTTACTTGAACTTCCCCAGTTTAATACATGGACAATAAATCTTGGGACTGAAAAATTCACTATGCCTGTAGGATCAGAAGTCATGAATATTCAAGTCATTCTTCCCTGTTGTGCATATGCAAAATGTTGGGCATTAATGGTTGAGGCAGAAATATTGTGATTTCTCTTTCCTTTGCTCTGTATTAAACTTAGGTTGAAGCTAACACTTCATGGAATTCGCTTAGAGTACATTCACACGCTCTCCTTGAAAACAATGCCAGATGACTCCACTGAACTAAATGTTGGATGACACAGTGTATTGTTTTTTAATAAGCAATGCTGACTGAATTCTTTAGGTAGCTTGAAATATTACCATGGCTGTTTAGAGTTTACAATACCTTAAGTATTTCACAAGGCAGTAAGGACACTGCGTGGAACCAGCATCCCATGTCGTAGTGACAGGTTCAGGTCTGCTACGGCACGTTGGGGAGCAGCAGGGTGGCTAGGTGCCCGAGGCCTGTGGACCTGCGGCGGGGTGGTCCAGGCCGAGTCACTGGCTCCTTGTTTTGGCCTGATTCTGTCCAGGTGTTACAGGCACTTAAGGAGTGAACCAGAGGATAGACGATGGATCGATCAATTTTTGCTTTTCAAATGAATAAAAAATTAATTAAAACTTTAAAAAATATTGATTCTGCTTCCAGCCACAAGCTACTGGAGATTCGAGGACTTGGTTTTTCAATTACGGGAGAAAGTTGCTCTAAAGATCATGGCAGCAACTGCAGTCAGCACTTTTGATATAATCTCCATGGCAACCTGGGAAGGCACAGTCTGGTGGATGAAATGAAAACCACAAACTCAGCCTCAGACCCCAACATTAACTCTCCACAAAAGGCCATGTCGCTATCTTGGCCACTGTGGCGCAGGACACTGCCTGAGTCCTTTGTGCTTCACACACTTCTCACTTAATTAGCACTGTGTATTCATGTACCGACACAATGTCAAGTTATGGCAGGAAAGCACATGCTGAATACATCCTATGAATTTCATCCAAAGTTGGGCCTGGTGCGATGGTCTAAGTAGCTGAATCCTCACCTTGCATGCATTGGAATCCCATATGGGCGCCAATTTGTGTCCTGGCTGCTCCACTTCCCATCCAACTCCCTGCTTATGGCCTGGGAGGGCAGTAGAGGTTAGTCCAAGAGCTTGGAACTCTGCACTCCTGTGGGAGACCCAGAGGAGGCTCCTGGCTCCTGACTTACGGTTAGCTCAGCTTTGGCCATTGTGGCTATTTGGGGGGTGAATCAGCTGATGGAGGATCTTCCTGTCTCTCTGCACATCTGACTTTCCAGCAAAAATAAGTAAATATTTAAAGAAATCTCACCCAAAGTTAGTGTCTTCATTTGATGAACCTATTTTATTGTCATCTACAAATGACACAGTAACAAGAAAGTTTATTTTTTAACTGGAGATTCAGAGACTGAGTGAGCTGTTTCATTTACATTTCCATTTTTCTAGTAAGGATATATCTTCTACAGCAAGTTGCACAGGAACAATGCACAAGAATTTTAACTGCAGTTTAAATGAAGTAAGATTGTTCTCTGGTGATCCCTTGTCAATATCAAGATCATCTGCTAAAAACACAACAAAATTAACGCATCCATGGTCTCCACACTACAGAGCAGACATGACAGGCTGCTGGGCGCTGTCTGGGGCTCCTCACAGTGGCCATAACAAGTAGGCATTAGCAGTACTCTCTTGTTCAGAGATGTCCTGTTACTCCCTTGGGTCTCCAGGGGAGGGGTTGGAATAAGGGCCTGTGCGTTTGACCACTATGTGCAACGACTGCACATAGCTATGACCATTGTATTGCTAACTTTATTTGTGTACGAAATGTACTTAGAAACTGGCTTAGCCCTTGTCTATAATTTAAACGCAATTCTCCCAAATCTGACAATTCTCCAAAATTCGGCTATCTGATCATCAGAGATTAGAAGCAGCAAATTAGCAAGGTCTGCAGCAGGACTCCTGTAAGTGGAAAATGTGAACAATACTGGGAAAGGAGACAGGGACTGAAAGCAATAAGAAACAGGATCATCCACAACAAGAAAAAGCTACACACAGCCGGGGGAGGCTGGGGAGGGAGACGCCAGTGCTAACAGCATTTGGTGCGTTTCTATGCCAGCATTTGCCTTCATCACAGCCCTGAGACACAGGCTGTGCAGCCCCACTTCAAGGCTGCATGCAGCTCGGCAGCTGAGAGATGTTCACAGCTCGCCCACGTTCTCACGAGAGCCAGGCCTGCAGCCGTGGGCCGTGCTCTCATCACACCACACCGTCACTCCAGCAAAAGTCCAGATGTGATCACAACACAAGTTTCCCTGGCAGCAAGGACAGGCAGAAGGTGTCAGATGTCACCCCAGGACCCCACACTTGATGGGTAAGTGAAGAGCCATAGTATTTTATTATTATTATTTTCACTTAGTGAACATTCTTAGCAAATTCAAGGCACTGTGTCAAGAAACAGAGTGGCATGAGAATGCCATTTCGAAGGTGAGAAATTCAAAACAGAAACACAGGCATTTATGCAAGTGCACAGTACATGTACACACACACATCCAAGCCACTCTTTCAGTTACTCATGTTGATTAAACAGAAGGACAGAGCTTGTCCCAGGACATAATTTTTTTTCTGGTATCTCTTATTGTCTAAAAGTTACTGAGAACCTGGAAACAGCCGGAAAACATTCTCACCAATAAGAACGAATTGGGACAAGACATGCAATAGGAGTTTTCCACAAAGGACAGTGTTTCTGTGGCACTGAAATGTGCAGTCATTTTGTTTAGCTCAATCTCAGGCAGCAGTTATGAGCCTGGCAAGTCGCTGACTTACTTTCTAACTCACGTGTGACCCACTTAGGCATGCTCACCCTTGGTGCAGGCCAGCCATGGGTGTCTCTCTCAAGGGAAAGAGCTTGGGGTAGACGATGGTGAACATGGGCTCACTGCACCGGTGACAGTGCCCGAGGGGGCAGTGCAGCAGGTCCAGGAGGCTTTTGGGTAACGAGATTGGAGACAGAAAGTTCAAATCTGGAAAACAAAGGAACATCACACATGGAGTTAGAAAGACCATAATTCCTTCAAGTCGGCTTCTCAGATTATTTCCCTTTAACCAGGTAAGCACTGCTTGCCCATGTGCTTCATGTTGAAAATGCCAATGGGCACTTGAGGATTCGCATCTATTATTATTTGGAAATGATGGATTATTATTTTTTTATATTTTGATACTAAAGGAAAATGCAATCTACTCTTTAAATGGTAACCCAACCAGAAGCACTGGCAAGGAAAGATCAAGTATGAAGACTGGAAAGTCATCAATTTGCCCAGAATCTGAGAACTGGAACAGGCCTGGGATCGAAGGCTGAACCTGACTTTCACTCAGGTCTCTCCACGGAACTGGGCAACTAGGCGGTCAGACATCCACCCAGGCTAAGTCATGTTCACTGAAAGCAACAGGCAAGACATGAAGATGAAAAGCACTCGAGTACAGGAGGGCCTCTCCTCCACAGCCAGCAGCACTCATGTATGCTGGCTTTCTATGAGTATCAACTTCCAGCAGGGAGAATGTTCCCGATGACACGAACAAGAAAACTTCTCCACTCGCTTTTGCAAGCGAAATACAAATGAGCTTCTTGTTTTCTATTTGTCCTGACTAATCCATCAATAACCACGTGGAAAAACACGGTTTACTGGTGGGTGTGTTTCTGGTTTTTTGCTTTAGAAAACAACTTAGCTTTGTTCTAGACATTCCTGGAGGGTTAACATTAATTCTTTTTATGTGGACTTTTTCTCTCCTCTCTTAAGTAAACATTTCACAGCTTTAAAAACACCTGAAATATATTTTTCTGATTAACAGTGTCTAGTTTTTTCTTTAAGTCTTGCAGATCTATACACCAGCAGCTGACACGTCGTCTCCAACAACGAGCTGGCGTGTACCGAGGATGCGGCTCCTGGAGCTCCTCTCTCCAGGTTCTCAGATGTGAGCAGGCAGCAGAGACTTTGTACATTCGAGAAGTGAGCCAGGAAACAAGCCCTCTCTTTTTCTCTCTCTCTGCTTTTTAAGTAACATATATACGCAAACACACACTACCACACACACACACACACACACACCAGCCAAAGGGAGGAGAAGCCCGCGTACCTTTCAGGAGAGTGTGGCAGGTGTGGTGCAGCCTCCGCATGGCCAGCTCCTGCAGCGGCAGGACGCGCTCACTCGCAGTCCCTATGGCCTTCACCTCGGTAGGGAGGAACACGGTCAGCTCCCCAGAGGAAAAAGAAAGCAGCTTCACTTCGGGGACGTGGAGAGGGGCACCGCAGCTGGGGATGACACACACCACAGAGGCATGAGTGATGCATAAGCCTCAGTGTACACCTCAGCTCAGCTCTGTTCACAGTGCCCAGTGACACCTGAGCTCCCTCGGAAAGCTCAGCTGGGGACCTGCCATTTCACCTCAGTGCCCCTGAAGGGCCCGGTTCTGTCGGCACGGCCAGCCTCTTGGGGCTGTGCCTTCATGGGTTCCACACCATGTGCTGGGCAGCCTCTATTTGTGCTCGCTCACTGCACAATTTTCCTCAAATGCCTTGTGCCCAGGACAGGACAGGGCAGGGAGTGAGGTCTTGGTACTGTATCACCAGGGAGAGGTTTCTGAGGAGGTGCCATCTGTACCCATACCTTGCAGGGAGAAGAGCTGGGGAGTGGGCCAAGGAACTGAGAGCTGAGACAGTCTACGGTGACTGCAATCTGCAGGATGGAGCCTTGGAGGAGAGGAAACCCAGAGAGAGAACCCCAGGCCCCTGGGCAGGGACCTGCAGGAAAGGCCAACGCAGCTGTGTGAGGACACTGCCAAGGTCTGCAGGAAGAACCACTGGGCCCCAACCACAGTTCGACAGGTCTGCGGGGAGTGCCCATGCATACCCCCCAGCTTGAACCTCATAGCTTGATGGGCACTGAGGAGTCCAATGGAAGGGTCTTAGGACTGCAATGGGAACTGATCAGTGCCACACCGAGCACCGCCCCAATCCTACCTAACTAATCTGAAAAGCTAGACCTGGAAACATCAAACTGCTCTCGAGTGGCCTAACTGCGTAACAGAAGATGAGAGTAGTTCTAGGAATACAAAATGTCCATCACTCATCACTGCCTAGCAGCCAATAATTACCCAGTTGGCCAACAGGCAGAAAAAGATAATCTGTAACAAGAAAAACCACGCAATTAATCAATCAAAAACTGATGTAGATGTTAGGACTGATAGAAAAGCCATGGTAGTAATTATTGTAATCACTACTATAGATGAAAGACATATTACATACTTGGCTTTCACCTAAAAAAACAAGAATAAGGAGCAAGTTAAGCCAAAAATAAACCAAACAGGGTAAACAATGAGGAACATCAAGAAAATCATTGAGTTAGAAAACAGGAAAACATCAGAGAAAAATCAACAAACAAAAACAAAAACAAGGTCAATAAAAATGGATAGCCTCTAGAAAGACTAATCAGAGAGGGGCACAAATTACCATTATCCAGAACAGAAAGGCGACAGCATCCAGATTCTGGGGTAACAGATGGGTAAGAAGTAATTTCATGCTAACACAACATCCTTGAAAGAGACAAATTACTAAAGCTTACTCAAGAAATACATACACTCAATAACTCCAGACCTTGTAAAAAAAATTGAATCTGGAGATGACATTTTTTCCATTTAGAAAATTTCAGAGTTAGATGGCTTTAATGGTGCATTCTACCAACATCTAAAGAAACTCTTCTATGAAATTGCAAATGTTGGCATACTTCCCAGATGTTTCTCAACCCATTCCAATAATCCAGTATTATCTCAATACTCAAGTCAGACAAAAATGCTGCAAGAGAGACCTGATTAATAGAACTGGAAAAAGTATAAACAAAATTTTAGCAAACTGAATTCAACTACGTATAAAATCACTATAGACAAAGATTATTTTGTTAATGCAAGATTGCATTAACATTAGAAAACAAAGGTAACTCACTGTATGAACAATCCATATAATTATCTCAGTAGGAGTAAGGAAAGCTTCTAACACATTTCAATATCCATTCCTAATGCTAAACTCTCCGTAAACCAGTAACAGAGGATTTACTCATCTAATCACAGAAATCTGGAGAACGAGCAATTGGAATAACTTCCTGCTGGAAGGCTGACTGAGTTTAGCCGTGTGACAAATACATTTGTTCGCACCACTTCTATTTAACACTCGACTGGAGCCTTTATTCAATTCATTGCAATAAAGCAAGAAAAAGAGATAAAAAGCAACTAGATTTGGAGGAAGAAATAAAGCTGTCTTTATCCACAAAAGACATGATTGTGTGTGTAGAAAATTCAATGGAGTCAACGAAAAAGACCACTAGACTTAACAAATGAGTTTGGCAAGGTTGCAAGACACAAGACCAATATTCAGTCACTTTTACTTCTACATTGTAGAACAAATACAAGTGGAAAAATGTTAAAGTAACAACAGTTGTACAATAAATGTAAAATAGGAATAAATTTGATTAAAAAGTTCAAGACCTATATACTGAAAACCACAATATGCTGCTAAAAAATAAAAAGGCATTTACTGCTAGAATGGGTTAGAAGACACAATTCTCCCCATACTGATTTATAAATTACACATTCAAAAGCATAATTTTAAAAATATACAATAAAGCCTGATTAAAAGACCATTAAGTAAATGGAGAAAATCTATGGCACATTCAGATAATGGAATGTTATGGGGTACAGCCAGTGACAGCCAGTGGGCTAAGGAGTTGATTAGTGCTTGTTGAGCTGGGCAGGAACAGGAACTGGGCTTGTGGCTAAAGACACCTAGACTAATTGGACTAATCGGTAACCAATATCTTGGCTAAATTGGGACGCAGGGTGGCGGTGGGGGTCGGGGGGAGAGTATGTAAGGAGAGGTGAAGGAGCAATAAAGCGAGACTTCGCAGAGACTTCTACCATCACTGGTCTCCTGTTGGTGCTTCATCCCCAGACCCTCTCCCTGTCCATGTTACTGGCTCTGCTGGCCGGAGCAATTATGGTCCCTGTGTACTGCTTAGACGGGACAATGGATTAGTAATGTTGTTTCTTGTTTGTGTACTATCAGGAGTTCCAGGAGAGGTGAGACCTAGCAGTGGTGGATTGTGGGCAGAGAAGCCAGGGAAAGGTGAATGTCTGCAGCTTTGTAAGTGTGCCCAGGTTATTTGTCATATGTCTCTTAGGATAACTTATATTGTTGGGGAAGCTAGGACATAGGTCTTCAGCTTAACGGATGGACTTAAGGGCAATGACCATTTGTTCCTTTTTGGATTATGTTTGGTTGCATTATGATTGGTTGGATTGTCATATGGACTTGCGATTTGCTATTTCTAGTATGCTCTATTAACACCAAGCTTGGTTAATAAAGACTCCTCAATAAACCTTAGACATGTCTGGAGTGATCTCGCTCACACCCCATAACAGGAATACTACTTAGCAATAAAAACAATGTTACCACACAGATGAATATTCCTGTTATCATGCTGAGAGACTAAGGCCTGATTAAAAAAGAACATATATTATTTGGTTCATTGATGATATCTCTAGAAAACAAAGGCTGATCTGGAGAAGACGGGGTGAGTGTCAAAGAGGACGCACTGCTGAACAGCACAGCACACTTCGATGCAATGGAGTGATGATTAGGCTATAACCCATCAGCTTTCAGACCTCAAGCATGTGCAGCTACACATCAACACAGCCCTTCGTGGAAAATACTATAAAAAAGCAAAGCCAAAGTCAACAAACGCGAGTAGGATATTAATAAACCTAAACGATGAAACACATAAAAGGAAACAGTAGAAAGGATATGTAAAATGGAAACCTGATTCCTTAGAGAAAAATCCCACTGCCCTCAACCCCACGGCACTGGAACAATAAAAGACTAAAACTACAGAAAGGAGACAGACTAGAAGACTTATAAAGGAAGTGATGGCAAACCGGTAACAGCAGCCACATGAAGATAATAGAAAAAGCAATAATCTGCTTTATGGGCTCAGAAAACATTCTGGAAAATTACACAGCCGGAATCTTAGAAAAACAAAAAGGGCTGAAAGCTGGAGGATACATTGGTTTTGGGGGTTGATTCTTTCTACAGGGTGTCTGTCAACTGCTCAAAGGACTGAGAGTTGAGCAGCCTTCTCAGAGCTGGAGGGACAGTGGTTTCCAGAGCCCACATGGCAATGTTGCAGACAGGTGCAATAGGGGCCATCTTAGGATGGCCAACTGGGAATTATCCCCATCTCTGGCACTGGGTTAGTCACTGCCAGCAACTGCAAACTGCCCTGTGGACTGGGGTGGGAGGTCTGCATAAGTCAGAGGAGCCACAGGATACAGCAAGATCTCAGTGACCCCAACAGGGACAACCACTGGGACGTAACAGCCCAGCAAGAAACAGTTAGACGGGCAGTGCCAGCAGACGGCAGCCACTGTCTCTGGAATTCAGGAGGTGTGAGGAGTCAGTCAGAAACGTGACAATGCTTGGGGAGTTTCCGGGAGCTCTGACCACAGTGTTTGTTCAAGGACGGACACTACGAACATCTGCACGTGGCTCCCCAACAGGACGACTGCACCCCAGAGCATGATCATTTAGGGAAACAGGCCTCTATCAAATTGAATTTTGGAAAATGTTTTATTTTCTGTGTCATCTTGGTATGGCCAAAGTGCCCAGATATTTGGTCACTTACTGGTCTAGGTATCACTGTGACATTAACATTTAAGCCAATAGAGCTGAGTGAAGCTGATGGCTCTCCACAGTGTGGGTGGGCCCTGTGCAGTCAGTTGAAGGCCTTCAGTACAACAGATGAGGTGCTGGGAAGAGGGACTCTGCCTCTAGACTGCCTGTGGACTGAACTGCAGCACCAATGACTAGGAATGAAGACAGGGCTGAGAAAGGGGAGGTCAGACTCTCCCTACTGTGCTCCTCGTCTCTAATAATTAAAAAGACAGGTGTCTGATTAAACCATTGAAAAGGCTCACATTATCAAGTAAGTGGTTCCCCATTTTATGTAAAGTCTAATTTCCCTTGAATAGTTCTTTAGCAGAAGTTCCCACCCTTCGCCACTGCATATAAAGTTAATTAGATTCATTTAAAGATTCCCTTATTAAATGCCTCTGTGTTTAACACTAGAGAAGGTATGGCAGCTGGTGAAGTCAGGCTGTGGTGGAAGTGTTCATTCGACAGGACCCTCTCAGCGTCCCAAGGGCAGCTTCTTTGGAGTAACATGGGGGACTTGTCCCTGCTCAATTGTCCGTAGACACACGGAAGTA